CTCACCTGGCCCTTATGACTGGTTTTTAAGAAAAGAAACTTTTGATATTGGGGGTGGGGGGGTGGGGAGGGTAATACACATTGCTCACATTTAGAGCTATCTAAATGTTCAATCTTCAAACGATTAGGCATTAATTTTAGAAAATGTAGACTCGGGCTGCTTACATAAGAAGGGGTCATCTTTGGGGAAAATGAACTAATATTTAAGATGAATGGTTATGAAGTTTTAGTGTGCATCAGAATCACCTGGAGAACTTGTAAATAACAGATTACTCTATAGTTTCTGATTCAATAGGTCTGGGATGGAGGTGGAGACTTTGCATCTCTAATAAACTCCCTCCCAGCTGCTACTGCTGATGATGCTTCTACTGGCCTGGGGACCACACTTTGAGAATTAATGCTTTATATGAATATTAAATTAAGCTGAGAGTTGATTTGAAAAAAAAGGAGTTAAAATAGAATAAGGACTTGGAAATCTTCTACTGGTGTATACAAAAGTGATATTCAAAATATTTAACAAGCCACTAACCAGTTAGAATGCATACTGGTCTGACTTGATCTATATGGCTGAGCCTGTGCACACTGCCTCAGTATTAGACTTCAATGAGTGTATGTGACATAAAAACAACTGTGCATGGATAAATCAAAATTTGAAACTTTTTTCGTGTTGTAATTTTTTAATAGTTCTCAAAATATAAAATTAAAGCAAGTGTTTCAGAGTTTGGCTGTTATATCACATGTTATCATTTCATTTTGTCTTCATCTTCAAAACAATAGTCTGAGCTAAAATTTTAAAATTCATATTGTGTCTTTAAAAAGAAAAAAAAATTCCTCTGCCTCAAGTGTCACCTCTCCCCTCCCCAGACAGGATGGTGACTTCTTTAATAACTATTCTTCCTTTTTCTGATATTACATTTTCATATAATGGTTGTTTTACTTTAATAAATTGAATATGTGGTAAAATCACATGATAATCACAAACTAACAAAGACCACGGTTCCTTTTGAAATCACATGTTCAGAAAAATTAATTAATTATGGTAATCAGATATATACACTCACAGTACACCCCCTAGATTTAGAAAAACATATTAAAACACCTTTATATAAAAGAAATGTAGACTAAAAGTGTACAAGGTATTGGCACTACAGGAATAAAATGGTACATAAATATTAAGTATCCAGTGAGTTTCAGAGGGTAATAGTGACTTATAAAGAAGCATCCTAGAGGGCCGGCCGAGTGGCGTGATGGTTAAGAACTCGCTTGGGATGCCAGAGGGCCCCGGTTCGGATCCCACATATGAGGGCCAGTGACACTGCCCTCCACAGCTAAGATGCTGAACAACAGCTCAACCTGGAGCTGGGCTGCCATGAGTCGCCGGCGATGGCGTGGGCTGCAGTCCCTGTGGCAGTGGATTGCCATGGGCTACCGTGTGTGGCCAGCAGCCAGCGTGAGCGGCCAGCAGCCGCAGTGAGCGGCCGTCCAGAAGCCGGCGACTGATCTGCCTCGCCAGAGAAGAGCGCAATGATGGTGCCAACTTGGGCCAGTGAAGCAACGTCCTCCACAACTAGATTGAAGAACAAAACGACAGCAACTTGTCTGTTTCCCTTTCCCCAATTCTCCAGCACTGTTCCAATTCCCCAATAAAAATCTTTAAAAAAAAAAAAAAAAAAAGAAGCATCCTAGAGAAGTAAAATCAATATGTGTTTCAAAAGGATGAAACCCAACTCCCAAATGTTAGCCATTTAACAGTTATTTTTATCTCCTTTGGCAAGTCAGTTGTTTTTAAACTGGAAACCATTTTGAAACAGTGAAGATAAAATATGATGATTGAAAAGTCTGACTGGCTACTGATGACTAGGATGTGGCGATGACATTTAAAGTGACATCACTCTTCTCTGCGGAAATGTGTGTGCATATCTTTAATGTCAGCAGCACTTGCCTCAGTGATGCCACTTGTTAGATTTCTTGGTGTCGTGTGCTGTTTCAAGGTCGGGAGTAGTGATTTTTATTACACAATACACCAATATTCCACTTATTATTTAAAAGGAAGTTGTCAAAGCTCAATTTTTTCTTGTTTTGCTCACTTCTGCAAGTACCAAGATCATTTGATTCTGTTTTCGTTTTAAGATACAGAATTCTGAAATTTGCCATAATGAAGTAGTACACTTCTTTAACCTTAAAATCATTCCTGTGAAAAATAACTGTTTGCTTGTGTCTGATGGTTCCCAGGTTTCTGGGAAAGCCTTGACTCACAGGCTGGCTAATAAATAATATGAAACAACCTTGGAGGGAATATCGTGTGCTCTATTACATCCAACGCCTCTCTGCCCAAAGGAAAAGCTGATGAGGCCCAAAGAGACATAGCAGGCCAACTGCTGCTTTTTAAAACTCTCCCAGCAGGATTCTTTCTTAGGCTGCAGCTGTATCTACAGTCACAGAAAGATTAGATGTGGCTGAATAACCTATCCAGTCCAGTGAAGTGGCCGAAGGGGGTAAGGAGAGCTGACTGAGGTTTCTTTTTAACACAAGAAACACACCTTCAGACAACACTCATAGTATCAATGTGGATCAAGTTACTGGGTTGATATATTAATACATAGATAGAAAATCCAATACTAGTATAACCCGAGAGCAGTCCAGTAAATTCTACAAATATTAAATAAAGGTTGATGACAAAGAAAATGTGTAATATTCAGAAGGGTCATCTGTCTGCATTTGGTTTCCAACTTGTATGTCCGCTTCCACCCCAACACACACCCTGTCCCATCATCACATTGATCTCCTCTAATGCTATCACCGACTCTGTGCTCCTTCATTCCCCTAAGTTCCACATGTCTTACTCTCCAGAGCACTTTGGACCTTCATATCACTGGATTTTTTAAATCAAATTTGTAGGAGGCCCAGTTGTCTTTTTTTAATCAGGAAACTTTTAATTAAGGTAATTATTATCAAGGTGCTTTGGGACTATTATTCAACTAACAAATGTATATGCATTACTTTATTATTTTGTTTCATTTTGCTTTTCAGTGTATCAGGTGCCACAATTGGGACACACCAACTATTGGTCATTTTATGATCCTGTCTTCCCCACAACTGCCTAAGCCATTTTACTTGTTGGAAGCATTGGCTTAGTTGCACCTGTGCGGAGAGTATTTGGAGGGTTCTCTCTTTATTTGCAGGGTTTTCTTGGAGTAAGTTTCTTAATTTCCAAAATAATGACATTCATCTGGTCCCATGTTGTACTACAACAAAGGTTTTGTCTGGTTTGAAATACCACCGAGAATGCATATTTGCTAGAAACCTTAAAATGTGTATTTTGGAAGTATACGTAGAGCTATCACTGTTAATTTCAACCCTATTTTTTTAATATGTATTATATACTATAAAATACCCACTTATATACCACGGGCAGGAATGCTGACAGAAGAGAGGAACTTTGCTTTAAAGGGAAAGTATACAGCCAGCTGCCTAGAGAGGATGACCAACTATATTGTGGATTTAATTGACTATAGCATTATTATCCTCAATGATGTGGTCAAAGGACTTGATTTATTAAAGAGGAGACCTAGGCAGGAAATAAAAAAGGGGGGGCATGCCTCTGTCTATCAAAGTAGAATTCTCCGTGTAGAAATCAAACCAATCCAATCTGTCACTGGTTCTTCAATTAACTATAACAAGTCTTAACTTCATATTTTGGCTCACGCTATGTCTTTTAATGTTATATGTTGTTGGAAAACTTGTAACCGATGCATGAGTGTCCTCTCTGTTCAAACTGTTTCTAATATATAATATCCTTGTCCAGTGTTCTTTCAATAAGGGTACCTAGTTCTTTGAGGATACTTGTCAGAATGATGCAATGAAGATGTGCATTATTTATTATTTATGAAAAGATATTATACTGCAACATCCTACCTACCACAGTTGCTGTGATAAAGAGGACAGTGGGATTATTATTTTCTGACAAAATGGAGCATTGAGTTTAAATAAGCCATGGAAAATAATGAATAGTCTAATAGGCATAATCCTCCACTGAGATATGCTTTGTTAGGTGACATTTTTAAACGTTTTAAGCAGGAAAACTTTCTGATCTGAGAATCTCCATGTCTACTCCCAGCCCCACCCCAAGTTACAAAGGCTTTTTCTTCCCTATTAATAAATATAGATTTCTTTAAGATGATTTTCTATCTCAATTAATGTGTCTCTCAAGTACCCCCCCCCAAAAAAAATAGTCTTATGAAAATATAAACTTAGGAAAATGCATATTACTGTTTTTAAAAAGTCTTAGAAGCCACAGGCAAAAGAATTGCATTGTCCCCTTTAGGTAGTCAAAACACACTGGAGACTCCTTACAGTGGATCGAGATATGAAAGACTCATGTGTTGGAAGGATGCCACTACCTTGAATTTCTCAGACTACCCTCTGTAGGAAGCAAGGAGAAAGAAAGAATCAGAAGACTGCCCTTTGGACTTAGGCAGTGCATTTGCTTTTGAACTCTCAAGCCTCAATCTCAGTCTCCAGGGTGCCCACTTCCCTTGTTACATGTGGACTTTGTCTCATTGGGGACTGTATTAATAAGACACATTGTAGACAGAGAAAACACATTTCCCAAGCCAAGAAGGTGAGAGCTATTCTTTTCAAGGACCCTTGTTAATCTCGGGGTGCCCAGCATCTTCTGTGGCAGAGCAAAGGCAATACAGGTGTAAATTCTTTTTTTTTTTCCCCCATTCCATAAAGAAAATGTTGTTCACGAGTTAGTGTTCAGCTGCATTTCTCTTAAGAGAAGCAATAGAATCTTTCTTCCTCCCTTCCAGAGGTTTTAGAACATTGATTCCCATTGCTTTCTAGCATCATTCTAAGTAGAAGCCCACTGTTTGGCTACGGCCAGCATTAGCTTGACGGGTACCTATTATTGAAAGGGAGTCTGTATTTGCAGTAATACAGAGAATGCTAGTTGAGAAATGAGCCTGATTGCATGGTTCATTTTGTTCTCCTTTGTAGAGCCAGGCTGCGGCCCACTACAAAGGCACGAAACATGCCAAGAAGCTCAAAGCACTGGAAGCCATGAAAAATAAGCAGAAATCTGTATCTGCCAAGGACAGCGCAAAGACTACCTTCACCTCCATCACTACCAATACCATCAATACCAGCTCTGACAAAACAGGTTAAGCGATGATCTTTCTTGTTGTTGTTGTCACCATCGTCGTCGTTGTCGTCTTTGTTTGGGATTCCTTCCCTTGTTTGTCTCACCCCATGTCTGTTTACTTATATCCCTGCCACGCTGACTCATGCTTGATCCATTTTTCTATGTAATGGTAATTGTTTTCCCTCGTTTTTTCTAATACCCTGAAGACATTAAGGTAATCCCTAGTTATGCTGCAGATTTTGCATTTGAAACAATTCTGTGTCTGTTTTAAAGGAACATGACTGTCAAAGGCATTTGAAGCCATGTCCCCAATAACCAACCATTTTTGAAAAGTGAACCTTCTCAGTGTGTCTCGTTTGCGTCTCATATGCAGCACCCTCGCCTGTAACTGCATGGCAGATTTGATTTACCTGTGAATACACAGCAAAGCGTGCCAAGTGAATTGAGAAGGCCCCAATAAGGGCGTTACTGACAGGCCTGATTCTCATAAATCCCAAGCATTGCAATGTTTTAAGTAGCGGCTGTGTAATTCTGGGCTTGTTATGGCTGGGTAAACTTCTCTCTGCATACACAGGTAAGTGTTATTGATACCAATTATTCTTTTTAACAGAGTCTTCACAGTGAAATAATGGCCTCTGAATGGCCCCTTGAGATAGCTCCCTGCAAACAATCAGTTTGTTCACGGCAGGGGAAGCCAGTGGGGTTTCCCTAAGCTGGCATTTTAAAATATAAGAGCACTTCTCCTCCAGATTTACATGAAAGGAAGTCCTGTGTGATTCATGGATGTACCTTTAATAAATCACTGTCTAGAGTATAAGGGCTAGTACGGGTTGGTTGTTTTCCAGTCCCTACAAATGGCAATGGTCAGGAAACGTTTTCATCATCATAGATAGTAATGTCTGAACTAGAAGGGATTCTTCTGGCCATGACTGATGAAAACATAAAATGCTACAGTGAAGAAATAGAACAGATTACAGTGACTTTATTATGCATGGTTGCAGCCATTAGACACAAATATTCTACTCAAAGGATCTGGGAGGTGCTTACTCCTATGTGAATCTGTAAGGCATGATGATATTCTCGCCCAGCTCCCATGACAAAATCGTTGTCCTTTACACAGATATTGTCGGTAGACGCATCATTCTGTCTTCCCTAAGAACCCTGTGTACTCTCTAAGGCTGAGTGCATCTGTCATCATGGTACCCTGGCACCTGCTATAGGTGCTGAGTAAAATGTCTATCAGGTGGCTGAATTGTCTCTCTCCCCTTTGATTCTCTGAGTCATTCAATTGAGTGTCCCTACAAACTAAGTGCTCGTCATGTTCACTTCTTTGGTATACAGAGGCAGAGTTGGATTATGCCATTTTATGAACTTAGATGTAAAAGCTTACAAAGAAAGCATTAATCTTTCCTCTGTTATTGAAAACTCACTGCCTTATTTTGGGGGCTGTCAGGAATGAGCAGTGATAAAGCAAGTGAGTACAATTTTTGCTCCCAGATTTTGGGGCACAAATTGGCATTCCTAAAGCCATACTTCCCATAAAGAAATACCTTTCATTTGCAAAAAGGTAGTGGGCAGGGGGAACAATAGTAGATAGGGTTTAATGTAAAGGGTCAGATGTAAAGAAATGAGTTTGATGTACAGAGTTTAATGTAAAGTTTTTGCTTGCCCCCAAACTTTTCTACTCCTAGATGTTTTAATCAATAATGGCTATTCACCTTACCTTGACTCCTTTTTAAAATGCAAAAATCCCGGTTACATTGAGGATGCACATCATTTAAAGATATTTATATACATTGTGGGTGGTGCTGCTAACTTGGGTTAGGAAAGGCTCCCACGTGTGTTTTCTGTTATATAAATGAGTTATGAACCCATTCTTCCATCCCTCCAACTTAGAGACTAAATGTAAAGGGTGGCAGTCATCAAGGCTCTGTCCTTCAAGATGTTGAACTGAAACAATTTTTGGATTGGGCTGTGGGAGACAGCCTACATAAAGTAAACAGATTTCCAGGGGAGATGCCAGAATTTACCTTATTGTTGGAATGGCATTGACATGGTGAACACCATTTCAAGCTGGAGCTAGAGAAAGTTCCAGAAAGGCAGAAGGGATAGTAAAATCCATAAAGTTGTTACAAATATTCTAAAATCAAAGGAAGGAAATGATGGACACCAAGAAGGACATTGTTCTCCTAATCTATGGGACCTATATAAATCAATCATTCAGTCAATCAATCAAACAAAACAGCCGCAAAGGTTGAAAGAAGAAGGATTCTAGCACATTTACCAGATGCTTTCAGCCAAATACTATCAAACTGAGATGTCCACAAAACTACCTATGAGAAGTAGCCCAAGAAAGCTCCTGTCATTTCACAGATTGTTGATCCATTTGTAATGCAATACATTGGGTTGTCAGAAAAGTCATGACGGATTTTTTTTGTTTTTCATTGAAAAAATGCGTCATGACTTTTCCGACAACCCAATAAATCAGAAGCACCTCTGCTGACAAACTGGAGTTTTCTTAAAACTTATTACTTGTCCTTTTTAATACTGCCTACTTCCTCATACTGATTAGGAAGAACTAAAATTTTGAAAAGACGGGTCTCTGAGCTAGCTTACTAGAAAAGTTAAATGCTTGGAGACAGAGAGACAGATAAGACTCTAGAATTAAAGATCATGTATTTTTAGTAAAAATAAATTAACATTCTACTTAATGCACAAGGGTGTTTTGTGATTTGTGGGCTTATCCATACATAAAATATACATGTATTAAATCATATTTTACAAATTTTACCAAATTATTCTTAATAAAATTAATCCAACTATATCAAAAAACTAATTGCTTTTGAAAAGTCTACCTATATAATTATTTGATAGATGAAAACCTTAAGGTTGGGCAACAGTGAAAAGGGCAAAAAGCAGTGTCGACTTGAGTTACAAAATTGAATTGGAGGTTTTCCTGGGTTTCTCTAACATACAAGAAATATAATACTCATCTAAAATAAATTTTCATTGCAAATCTACTTGATAAAAAGAGAGTTGTGACAAACAATTCCTCTTGAATTTGTAACTCATATAGTATGGGTTTTAATTGCTGCCTTGGGCTAACAAATATATCTAAATGACACATGGAGTTAGCTTTTATTTACTAGCTTTATGATCTTGAAATTCTTTTTCATTACTTATGTCAATTGGCATGCTGGAGTGGTGAGCAATAGCTAATATCTAATGATCAACCACCAACTGCTTACAGAAAGCAAAAAAGATACTCCCTAATATTAAAACATGATTTTACTTCTTGTAATCTAATGAGAAATGTTAGCTTGGTGAATTTACACAAAGAAAAATTTACAGGCAAAATTAATATTTTAAAAACTGTGTTGAACACTCAAAAGTGTTGAAGGTGGTTGCTATTTATTACAGAATGTTTAGTAGAGGAAACATTTTCAAAGCTGGCCAGAATAACTTTGTCTAATCTAGCAAGTTTGTTGTTTTTAATACAAGAATTTTGTACAGAAAAAGTAGTGACAAAAATGAAGAAATTATGCACAAACTAACTTGGCAAATGTAACTCAGTTTTTTTGTTTGTTTTTGTTTTTTGTTTTTCCCCTATGAAATGACAAGTTCAGAGTTGTCTGATTTACTCTCATGCTAGGTCATCCTCTGATTTTTCCTTCCTTTCCCTTTTTGGGAATTCTTATTCCCATGGCCGATCAGTTAGGTTATAGGCTAGGCTAACTTTGAAATAATAGTGGCTTTTACAACTAATTATTTCTCACACTGCGCATCAGCTGTGAATTTCTTCCATGTTAATTTAACTGGAGGGCCAGGCTAGGTGGATATTGCCAATTGTATGGAAGAGGGGGAAAAGAGCGTTGTGAAACAATAGGCTTTTAAAGCTTTTTAATGGAAGTGACATATAATACTCCTCTCACTTCCATTGGCAACTCACATGGTCAAGCCTGATTACAGTGGGCGAGGAAGAATAACCTCCTTCAGGGAGGGGAAGCAGATATTAGTGAGCAATAAAATACAGCGTTCCACCACGGCTTCCACTGTCACTTATGCTTAGATGTCTCAGCATTCCACATCTCTAGCCTTGTTCTAAATCCTGACCTGGTTTTCTGTGACTTATTGGTCACTCTCTTGGATGGTTTGTCAGCACCTCTATGTTACAGGTTTTTTTAAAAAATCAGCCTCATCTTAACCATCATCCCCAACTTTCTCTTCATCCTGTCTTTACCTAATGTTATGTTGGGTCCAGCAGTTCACCACGTTCAAGCCTTCTAGTTGTCCTGGTCTCTTCTCACTGTCTCAATCCGGTCATCGATTCAGTTGTTGGAATCCACTCCCTTCACAGTCCCAGAAAACATCTTTCACCCTTTCCCATTGATTACTATCCATTGCCTGCCCTTATAGGTCTGTGTCTTGCCCATACAATTGCCCTAGCCTTCATTCGTGCATAGCCTTCATTCTACTATCTATTTACTTTAGACATTGCCTAGGTCACAGCACTTAAACTTTCATAAACCTTCAGTTTACCTTTATGCTGAACCCTGTGGCCCTCCATGGTTTAACCACAACTTACCTTTCCAAACTTTTTCCTACTGCTCCCCTGATATATTTCTCCCTAGAAACCCAGTTGTTTTTATCATCTTTGTTTCTTATGCCGTTCTAAATTTCTCAAAAGTATATCACTTTCCTTTCTTCTGCCTATAAATTTCCATACGAATCCATACCTTTCCAACTACTCTTTCATATTCTTCTTAAAATATATTTTTATGTCTTTACCTTCCCCTATTGCTAAATGGTATGTTTGTTGAGAGTACATTCTTCAATAACCCTTTTATTTATCTTTTCCATACACAGTACTTTTTATATAACAGACAATAAATAGTTTTAAAATTTGAAGCAATCAGTTTTATATTTTTATATTTGAATGGACGCTTAGCAAAACTTTAGACTTTATTATTTGTGAGTGTATGATTCTCATCAATCCAAGTTTTCATAAAGATCATGAA